TAATTTAGTCAGGAAAGTTGATTTTATTATCTTTTTAAATTTTAATTAAATTTAATTAAACTTTAATTTAATTAAAAATGTAATTTTTTCAACGCACGTGAAATGACATTTGGAATATATTATAACGGTATAAGATAGAAAATCAATCAGTCATAAGTTTCAGAGCTATTCAGTAATTTTACACTATGTGAAATCGAATGTTTGAACTGGCTATGAGAAATTATCGTATAACAGAGAGAAGAAAGTTGAGCTGCAATTCAATAAGACCTTGCAACAGGTGAATATTTTTTTTTTATTTTTTTTTTGCGCGAGGTATCAATAAATAGATTGCATGAAAGGGATGAATGGTCTTTGAGAAATGAAAGGAAGGATTTGCACGTATTTACTCGCACGTACATCATCGGTTACCCTGGCGTGTTTCAAGCAAAGTAACTAGAGATAACGGTAAAAGGAAAATCATTTTAAGTGTCGCATTGCATTCCATCGTATACACATGCATTTATATATATGTTTATAAAAATTCCATGGATAATGAACCTTTTAATTATCCACTAAATTATTTTCCATACTCGTTTCATTTTGGCAATTTCTCGAGATAAAAAAGTATATAAAATTCCCTTTGGATAATTTTAAAACGAAATTTTAGGAGTATTTTTTATTTTTATTGGATTATTTCTTGCTTTTAATTAAAAATAATTATAATTATAGCATAATTATTATTATGCAAATAACAAAATTTAAAATTATTTTTAAATAGGTATCAAATAATTCAGTTTTTGAATGATTACAGATTCAAAATTTTTAAGAAATTCACATATTGAACTAATTAATTATTATTTCTTATTTTTTAAAATTTTAATAAAATTCTTATCAATAATTAAATTATTTTAAAAAATAATAAAACTCTTCACAAAAATTCAATTATTTTCATAAATAATAAAATTGTTCACAAAAATTAAATTAAAAATTAAGCAATTAAATTATTTTCAAAAATTTTAATGAAATTTTTGGAAAGAATTTAATTATTTTCATAGATTATAAAATTCTTAGAAGGAATTCAATTGTTTTCAATAAAATTTTAACGAAATTCTTGGCAAGAATTTAATTATTTTTATAAGTTGTAATAAAATTCCTTTAAAAAATGTAATTATTTAAAAAAAATTTGATATAATTGTATGCAATTTTTTGCATAAAATTTTAGATTTAAAATTATAAATGTTGGGTAGATAAAAATCATGATAAAATTTTTTTAACATAAATATCATGTTATATTTAATTTACAAATTAAATTATGATTTTTAATTCAAAATTCAATTAATTTTAGGTAGTTTAATTCTTCATTTTTTTCAGACTTCATTTTTGAGAAATTCTCATATTTTTCTTTTATTCTTTGATAATAAATTTAAATTATTTTAACAAAATTAAATTTATGTTTAAATAAAAGAATTTTTTTTACTTAACGAAGAAATCGATTGTCTTTAGATTTTATTAGTAAAAAATTCTATTTGTCCTCTTGTTTCAATTTAGATCATTGTAACAATAATGCACAAAAAAAGTCCCCTCGATATATAGATAAATAAAAATTTGTTGGGTAAAAAGGAAATCAAGCTCTGATTCAAAGGAAACGCAAGTCACTTTTTTTTATATACGACAGACTCAGATTGACTTTAATACGTGACTTTGAAATATTTCTCCTTGAAAAAAATTAATTTCATACCTTCTTTATTTGTCACGTAAAAAATACTTATTTTCTAATAAAATTTTGCAACAGGCTTTTTAGCCTGTTGTTATTGTTATTTTATACTTTTTTTGCCCTTCTTAAGTAAAAAATATTTTTATTTTCTAGTTGTAAAGTCTGGTAAACAAGAAGTCAGATTTTACTACTAGAAAATTGTCTTTAGACAATTTTCTATTTTTTCATTAGAAAAATATAAGAAAAGTACAAATTATACATTTTTTGCATCTGTTGCAAGAATTGACTAGAAAATAAATTTTGCTTTGCCAAAGAATTAAAAATATTATGGAAAATAATTTTTTTCTCCTGTGTACAAGATTTTACAACCGTTCAATTTTACAACAGAAAATTATTTACAAGAAGATAGAAAAAAATTAACAACAAAAATAAAAAAATATTATAAAATAAACTTTTTTGCACCTGTTGCAAGATTTTACTGGAAAATAAATTTTGTCTTTACTATAGAATAAAAGAAACTTTTTTTCCTAGCAAAATCTTGCAACCGGTAGAAAAGAATTTTTTAATCCAGTAAAAAAATTTTTTTCTAGTAAAATTTTGTAACGAAGGAAAAAAATGCAGGGTCATCCTTTTTTATTTCTCTAGTAAAAATTATATTTTCTAGTAATATTTCTCGCAATAGGTGAATTTTTTTCTCTAAAAAATATATAAATTTGAAATTTGAGAATTTTGGAATAAAAATAAAGATTGCGATTTTTATATAAATATTATTGCAGAGGTAAAGAAAAAATTTTTCATTTCAAGACGAAACGTTAAGCGGCAAAAGAGAATTGTTTGGACTTTTTAATATTATCGATACGTCGCCGTCTAGAGTCAATCAGATTCACCTGTTCTGTTTTTTAAGCAGAAGGAGTGAATCATCAAGTTGAATTCAGTGGCGTCAATATCATTACAAAAAAGAAATAAAGGAAAAAAACTCCCTCTCATTATTCATTGGCGCATTTCCGTCGAATTCCCGCAAGAATCTGAAGAAATCGAAAATTTAACATACAATGTCATCTGGATAATAAAAAATGCTAATTTACTTCTTTTGATTTAAAAAAGAAAAAAGAAAAGAAAGAAATAGGTTTCTGTGCTAGTCAAGAATCATGATTCTATTTTTATTTTAATATTCAAATTAGATTTGTGAAATATTTTTGTAAAGAATATTATGCATGTATATATATAAGAAAATTTTTATCCGTAGGTGAGGATGAAAATATAAATAATTTATGTCTAACGAATTAAAACTGATTGACTTTTTTCAAGAATGTTGTGTATGGGAGAAAATTGAATGAGAAAAAAATGGAGAAGAATTTCTTCTAAAAGATTGACGATGAGATTTTCTGAAAGGGTTTGGAAAAATGGGAAAGCAGAACAACACTAAGAAATTATTTTAAGGTGAATGGAATTTTTTTATTTCACTGCGCTGTTGGCTTTCTTGTTACCAAGTACGGCCCTCTGACCCGGTGCCGGATACGACATGGCGTGCAAACATTGCCTGTAATTCAATTTCAAATTATATTCTTCTGCTTCATTTTCGCATTTTAATTAGAATTTTTATTTTTATCTTGCATTCTGCTCTTCTTCGTCAGTTTCAATCCACGAAAAATTAATTCGAACAACATTTTTTTCTCTTCCATCGAAACAAAAATTTATATAAATTTTAAATTAATTTAATAAATAAAATAATACAAAAAGAATTCAATTTTCTGAAAAAGTTTCAAAAAATGGGAAAGGGGAATCAAAATTTCATAAAAATGAGTAAATTTAATAATTTTCAGATGATAATTAATTTTTAGAGAATATATTTACAAGACAACTTTAATATTTAAATAAATGTGTTTCAATGTGGAAAGTAATTGACGGAATAATTGTAAAAGAAAGATTTTATTGAAACCAAGAAGACTAGAGACAGGAGGTAAAACTTCGGTAGTGGGGGTATGGCAATGCTGAGTCGCTCAGCTGATGTATGGTCAGGCGTTTACTTTCAAAAAAAGTTTTCGCCGCAATAGACCACACGGACTTCTGCGCAGCTACACACGTAAACACGGGAAAATATATTCTATACAAATACAATATGAAATATAAGTGTTTATATTTTCAAACATCTTTTAGTTATTAAAAAAAAAGTTTTAAAAACAAAAAAATGTGTAAACTATAGCATGAAGTGTATTAAAAGTTAACAAAAAGTAATAGTCATAGTGCTGTGTTTATCTTTCTTCTTGTTTCAACTTTTCACACAGCACGTTTTCGGAATTTTTAATTATTTGAATAACACTCAATTTAATAATCACTCACATTATTTCTATATATATATATCCGTTATGACACACATTGTGTCTCGATTGCACTTTAAAGTTAACCTCAAATTAAAATCATATCATACACATGTGAAACACACGGTATACAAGAATTTGAATGTGTGAGTGATGTGCAGAAGCACCGCGCCGGCGACTTTTCGAAACGAAAAACGCCTGGTTAAAGAAAGGTTCTTGACTCATCCCCACTACCGAAGTTTCACCTCCTGTCTCTAGCCTTCTTGATTGAAACCAATGTTGTAAAAACAATTTTAGTAATATAATTTTTGCTTCCTCATGAGGAAGCTTTGCATTCGTGACGATTTTCAATTTTTCGAAAGAAGGATATATGGACTCATTTTCATCTAGAACATATGTATATTCTATTCTGAGCAAATGTCCAGATGTATGGACATACACACATATATACATATGTGTGTATGTATGTGTATGTGTGTGTGTATGTCACAAAAATTGTGTACAAATTATCTCAGACAAATTTTGATGGATTGTCCTGAAATTTTTCAGGTTTATTGCAGTCATTAATACCTAAAATCTGACACAAGGATTTTCAAAAATATCTACAAAAATTTTTTTTATACAATTTTTAAAAAATTTTAGAAAAATTTTTTTTTGTATTTTTTGAAATAATTTTTTTATTTGTTAATATTTTCATTAATTATTCTCAAAATTACATTCCTGACAAGAAAACGAATCGATTGATGTATACAAAGTATATATTTTATCAAAATTTATAAAAGTAATAAATATTTTTCTTTTTCACAAAAAATCCAAATTTTGTATTTTTTTCATAATTTATTTCATGTTAATATTAATATTTTGAAATGATTATTCTATCATAAAAAAGAAGCAATTGGTATATGAAAGTGTAAATTTTACCAAATATTTATGTATTGAGGAAGCTAAATGGTCATGAAATGAACAACTTGTTTATTTTTATGTTGCAGATTAACAAAAAGATGCCTTACTACAATAGTGGCCATGGACCTGTTGCTTACAATAAAGGTAAAAAAAATTATTATTATTTCATTTTGAATATTTTTGGAAATTTAAACAATTTAAAGTAAAAAAATTGTAATTGTTACAATTATTACTTTCATTTTTTATTTTGAAAATTTCTTTTTCTTTCAAAATTTCACATTATTTACAATTATAAGTTTTGTTATTTTTTAATTTTTACTGCATGAGTATATAATTAAAAATTCTTTAAATTTATTTTATTTGTAGGTATTATTAGACATTTTTTTGTTCTTTAAATTATTTCCAGTAATGTAAACAAAGAAATAATATTGAATTTTATTTCTTGAATATTATCGAAAATTTAAATAATGAATTGATTATTAAAAATAATTTTAATTAGAGGTAACAAATATTATTATTTAAATTTTTTATTTACATTATAAATTAAAAAATTTTTTTTTAATTAAAATTATAAATTTTTTAATTTTCCCACAGCTCCAGCAGAGTTAGTCCCCCATTTTTTCATAGTTTTAAATTTATTTCAATTCTTATAAACTTTTTATTTTTAAATTAAAAATTTTTTGTTATTAAAATTATTTGCAGAGATGAAATGAAAAAAATTATTTTTAATTTTCTTTTGTGCAAATTATTTTAAATTTATATAATTAATTGTTTATTAAGAATAATTTTAATTAGGGTCATTTGGGGTAAATGTAAACAAGGGGTAAATGTAAACAGTAGATGTTTCAGCTAAATTTACAAATTAAAAAATAAGTACGACGTCAATATTTTTACCTCAGCTCACCTACAAGATGTTCTGAGTATTACCAATATTTTATTTTGACAATTGCCAATGCCATAGTATAAGTTATTTTTTAATGCAAAAAAGATTGAAAATCAAAATTTTACTGTTTCAGTATTTTGTCTCGCATTTGCATAAAAATAAATTTAAAAATCGAACAAAAAATAAATAATTAAGTGTTTACATTTACCCCGAGAATTCGAAAACTCGAGGTAAATGTAAACACAACTTGAACTACATTTTAAAAGAAAATAATTGAATAAATTTGCTTCTATTTCACAATTTCATTAATTTGGCAATGTAAATATTACATAGAAAAGAAAATTAGGTCCTCTTTGAAAAAAAAAATTTTATAAAAAAAATTTTTTTTTTTGAAAATTTGATCAATTTTTAAAAATATTTTTAGGTTCATCCGCCATTTTCAAAATTTAAAATTTGACTTCAAATTTGTATTCAGCGACCTCAAAAACACCCTAGTACCCAGATTCAAGCAAATTTGATCAATTTTTAAAAATATTATTTTTAGGTTCATCCGCCATATTGGATCCACCATTTTGAAATTTAAAAATTCGATTTTAGATTCTTATTCTGCAACCTTAAAAACTTCTTTTTACCAAGTTGAATAAAAATCTATTAAAATTTGTTCAAGTTATTCAAGTTTTTACATTACTAGTTTTGTAATGGTTAATTGTTTATTTTATATGATACATTATCAGTCAACTGGTTGATTTACTATACTATACTATAAAACCTTATGAAATATAAAGAAACTTTTAATATCTTTTAGTTTTTCTTATCACTTTCTTCTTTTTTTCTTCACAAATGTTAAAAAATAAGCAATTAAAACTGGCACTTTGCTTATTTTCACGATTTTAAAATGTAAATAACTTTTGCCCAGAAAATTGAAAAATTACGAAAATTGGGCAATAATAATAAGATGCTTATTTTACAATAAATATAAAAAATATTTTAAAAATTCTTTTTGTTCGATGATCCTAATATCTTTAAAATCATTCCTGCAAAATATTATAATTTTTTTAAATTAGTCGGCAACGACTTTCGTCGAAATATAATGGAATGGCTCATATGCATATTATATAAATTAATAAAATATAAATTTTATATTAAATTTTAAATTGTAAATTATTAAATAACTCAATTTTAAAAATTTCTACAAGTTATTATTAAAGTAATTTTCATAAATTCATAAATTTTATTGATTTAATGTAATATAAGATTATTTGAGGGGCTGATATAAAGTGGTTTAAAAAAACATTGGGAGAAAAAGTGGGATAAGTGACTTGGTAGCAAAAATGGTTTAAAACAATTAAAATATTTATCAATAAGTTTATTACACGAATGACTTGCAAAATATTAAAGTTTTTCTTTACTATTTTAAATATTTTTTGATCATTAATTATAATTAATTTATCCATAAATTACAAAATCATTTTAGCTCGTATTTGCGCCCAAGTCACTTATCGTCACCTTAATCTGCAAACCTCGTAACTCCACTTTTGGTCGAAATTTAGTTTTTTGTGTTATCTGATTCTTTATAAATAGACAAATATATAATTCAAATCATGAAGGAGTATAAGGAGAAGTATGTATAATGTATCCCTATTGACTGTACTTGACTGCGTAAAATCGCCATGCACGAAAATTGGCATACCGGAAATTTGTTCACTGAATTAGCGCCCCTACAGGAGAAAATATATACCCTCCATGCTGTCCATGATAAAAGTTTTGTTTACGTACACTGAGAGACCTTTGGGACTGTAGCGGAACAACGTATGTGACAGCAGCTCCACTATGGTTTTGGTGCGCTGCGGTTAAATTTTGGGTGCGTGACAGTCCCAAATGTTGGTGAGCAGCTCACCGAAGTAGTGGGAATGCCGCCGTTGGTTTGCAGCTGAACAACTTTGGGACTGTCACGCGCCCAAGATTTTACTGCAGCAACCCAAAAGTATAGTCCTGTAGCGTTCCTCCAAAATGGTCAGTAGCAGCCTATCGAAAGTCTGCTGCTGACCCAAAGGTCTCTCAGTGTAGTTTTTTTTAACAATAAAATAATAGTAATATGAATTGTTTTATAAAAAATTGCATGTCTAGTTATAAAGCAAATAAAAATGCTTCTGAAAAAAGTGTTTTTTCAAAGCACCGAGAATGATAAGTTTATTTAATATACTATTTGTAAGGGTAACAGTTTTTATACTTTTACCAACAGACATTTATGAATTTAATGCAAAGAATTTTTGGTTGTTTATTTGAAGTCCTTTCTATTTATATAACGTATAAAACAATTTAATTCTGTTCATCTATTTTACAATACAACACTCAGAGGATCCTCTAACCTTAAATATCAATCAGCTGTCAAAGATAAAAATACTTAAAATGTAAAATTGCACTTATTTCTCCCGTTTGGCGGCGCTGTTATCAGTGAACATGAGGCTATTACTTTTCGCGTACCTGTCGATTTTACTGCAGAGAAGTACAGTCAATATCAGGAAATTTTCCCATTGGAGATATGTCTCCTTATACTCCTTCATGGCTTCCGGACAGTATAACCGGTATAACCACACATAAAATTCTGACCGCCATGCTAATTCAATGGGCGTCAGAATTTTATGTGTGGTTATACTTTCCGGAGGCTCATTTATTATACCTACATACTTCATGACTTTCGACTTTAAGTGTGAAAATTTTTAAATAAATATCAAACATAAATTTTTAGTCTACTAAATATATAAAGTACAAACTTGAGGGTTCACGTGCAATAAGGGGACGCGCAGGCTATTCGTTGTCCTCTCGCGCAGCCGCAGAATCGCTATACGCAGGGACTTTCACTTCCATGCGTATCCCCTCAGGGTGAAGTCCCATGGTAGCGTTTTGCGTTGCGTTTTGTAACTAGGCCATGAGTGCAAATAGAGCAAACATATATCTGTATCTCTCTCACACTCATGGCCTGGTTACAAAACGTAACGCAAAACGCTATCATGGGACTCCAGCTGTCAAAGATAAAAATACTTAAAATGTAAAATTGCACTTATTTCTCCCGTTTGGCGGCGCTGTTATCAGTGAACATAAGGCTATTACTTTTCGCGTGCCTGTCGATTTTACTGCAGAGAAGTACAGTCAATATCAGGAAATTTTCCCATTGGAGATATGTCTCCTTATACTCCTTCATGATTCAAATGATAAAACTTTTTATGCAATAAAAACAGACTAAAGGTACTGCCACAGCTCGCTGCTGCCTGTGCAGGCAGCTGAGATGCAATGAGAGTAAGGGAGTAAGAAAATTCAAATTCATGTTTTTTCTCCCTCACTCTCATTGTATCTCAGCTGCCTGCACAGGCAGCAGCTAGCTGTGTCAGTACCTTAAAAATTTTGCCCAGCAAACCTCGTAACTCCACTGCGAAAAATTTTAAATGGCAAATCTCGTAACTCCATCTATGATTATTCAAGATGGGGGAAAAATGTCAACATTCAACAAATAGATGTCAGTTGCAAAAGTCAACAACGTGTGTTTTTCAGTTCCTTAACGTTTTTAATAAGAAAAACTATAAAAATAAGTAAAATAATTGCAAAAATGAAATAAGTTTTTACCGAATAAGTTTTTTTTCTGTGCGGAAATTACGTATGGAATTCTGTACGGAATTTTTGTAAATATTCCACATTGTATATTTTTGTAGAGTTTTCGATAACTTAAAAAACTGTCAGACTGTTGCCAACTTATAAAAACAAAAGTTTTTATACTTTTTAATATTATTTCCTTATTATTATGTTTTTTTATTTTCAATTCTTTTTTTATTAAATTTACAGGGGAAAAAATCCTTAGCTGATAAAAACTGTTAAACTGTTACCAACTTCAATTGGAGTTGGTAACATTTATTTATACTTTTTAATATTATTTCCTAATTATTCAAATTTTTTTAATTTTCAATTTTTTTTATTAATTTTACACGGAAAAAAATGCTTATTTAATAAAAATTGTTAAAATGTTACCAACTCCAATTGGAGTTGGTAACAGTTTTTTATGCTTCTTAATATTATTTCTTTATTATTATATTTTTTTATTTTTAATTCTTTTTTCATTAATTTTACACAGGAAAAAATCCTTAGTTGATAAAAACTACTAAACTGTTACCAACTCCAATTGAAGTTGGTAACATTTATTTATACTTTTTAATATTATTTCCTTATTATTCATATTTTTTTAATTTTCAATTTTTTTTTTATTAATTTTACACGGAAAAAAATCCTTATCCGAACAACCTCACAAAAAAGTTATTATTCTTAAAAATAGAATTATACCAAGTTTTTATTTCTTTAATTCACTGATTTTATTAATTAACAAATTTTTAGCATTACCTGAAAGGAAAAGCTCAATTTCACAAATTTAAATAAGAAATAATCCGATTGAAATAGTTCAAATTAATATTCGTTATCAAAGTACTAACCTCGTAACTCGCCAAAGAGTTAAGTTAAAAAAATTGTATATTAATATGTAAAAGGAGTCCCTTAATATCTAATAGAATCCATACTTTTTCCTAAATATCCAATCTAATGTTTATAAACAGTTTTATTGCTCTCCTGTAAAGTTGCATTAAATGGAGTTACGAGGTTTGCAGATTAAGGTGACATTATCCCACTTTTGCTTCTATTTACCTAAAGTGCAACAAAATCAGAACGAGTGACTGCTAAATGCGTCTCATTATGCACGCACCGCGTGACTCGCATGTCCTGCGCCCGAAGTGCGACAAAGTGCGATGCATGATTGTTATCTGGGTTCTTTCTTAAACCTCGCTTAACTACAGTGGTGTTTACATTTACCCCGAATTTTAGGAAAATTTCAAAATCTCGGGGTAAATGTAAACAGTCAGTTTTAGGCGATTCAGGTGAATAAATATTTTTTGAACCTCATAAAATTTTTCTAGGGAACTCTAGTAACAAGTTCATGCAAAAAAAATCCGTCCGTTTTACCTTTTAACAAAAAAACTAATGTTTTTGGTGAAAAATAGATATTCCGTTTACATTTACCCCAATTGACCCTATTATTTTTGTTTTTTTATAAAGTATTTCAATATGTCAACAATTTTATTCTATTTGTGTTATTGAACTCTTTTTGTTATTAAAATTATTTCCACAGATGAAAATAGTACATTGTACAACTAGTGGCGAAAGTGTGATTTTTTGAGAGTGAAGAGAAATCACTCGAGAAAAATCATTCTTTCACCACGAGTTGTGCACTACGTTTTCTCCAACGCCTTGCGAGGAAAGGTTTCTTCGTGAGTTTCGTATAATTTTAATTTAAAATGTTCTTATGTTTAATATAATAAAAGACGAATGTTTTGAGTAGGGAAGAAGTTAGATACAAAATAAATCTCGGTCAAAGAACAAGAAAAAAGAATAAATTCATGATTTACTTTCGCCACGCTCTTCAGAGCAGTTGAGAAAAGTTCTACTTTCGCCACACTTTTCTACCAAGAAAAGTACTCCTTTCAGAGCAAGTGTTGGAGAAAAGCTATTTTCAATGTACTTTTTTAGAAAAATAATTTGAAAATTTAAACATTTACTATTTATTAACAATATATTTAATTTTATAATAATTAATATTTTTATTCATTTTCTACAAAGTAAATATTGACAATCTTATTTATTTTTATTATTGGACAAAATTATTTCCAGTGATGTAAACAAAAAAAATGATTTTGAATTTTATTTCTTGCAATTTATTGAAAATTTTAAACAATTTATTATTTATTAAAAATAATAATTTTAATTTAGGTAATAATTATTATTTTCATTTTTGAAGTTAGCGTCGAAAACAATAGCATTTGGGATTGTACAGACTAATGAAAATGTCACTATAATTTTACTTGTTTCATTCACATAAGAAGTTAGCAAATCTTTTTAAGAGACTTTTTCAATTTAAAAACTTTGAAAAAATTGATTAATTTTTTCCAGTTTCGTGGAAAAAGTATTTTTCAATGCTCTGAGTGAACGCCAACTTTAGGGATCTATTTAAAAAAATTTCTTTTTCAAATTCTTTACAAATATGATATAGAAAACACGATTTTGAATTTTATTTCTTGAGAATTATTGGAAATTTAAATAATTTATTATTTTTTAAACATAATTTCAATTTACTTATAAATTCAAATAGAATTATGTATTTCTTGGTTCTAAAAATTTTTTTTAGATCTCTTACAATCCTATTCCTCTAAATGAAAAATAAATTAAGCATGATTAAGTTTGTTCAACATTACTTTAACATTGATTTAAATTTAAAATAAAAAAATTAATTTAAACATGACCAAAAAACCTTATTAAAATGATTTACATTATTTTTTTACTTTTGGCAATGTATTTAAAATTTGAACAATCTTACTTTATTGAGAATTGAATTACTGAATTGTTGTTTTATATAATTAAATTATTTAAGAATAATAATAATTAAATTACTAGATAATAATTTGATTACTAAATTATTGAAATTGATTTTGAATTGAGTTGTAACGTTTATAATTTTCGTTTCAGATGGAAGTTCAAGTGGTCCATCGAGCACATCCGGAGGACCAGTCGGTGCACCGGAACCAACATACATGATGGAGCATTTGGCCACATTCACAGTGACCAAAGAAACTGGAATTGTTTATCCAGCTGATGGCATGCGACGTCTTTTACAACTGGAAAAAAGTAACGGTATTTGGAGTCAGAAGATGCAACTTCGCCTCGAGCGAAATTGGGTTCTCATCATGGACAACGAAACTGGGGTAAATTTATACTCATAAACTTTTCTCAAATTTCATCAACAGTGAAATCAAATCTTCTACTATAGGACTATTTGATTTTCTTTCTCTTTTTGTAACTCCAAATTTGTGATTGAAATTTAAATAAAATTGAAATTAATCAATAATTAATAAATTAGTAAATTGAATTAAAAAATTTGATTGATAGAAAATATTTTAAAAATAAATAAATAGAGATTGATGATGAAATCGGATTTAGAAAAAGTTGGATATAATTAGAAGTAATTGCATAAATTCAGAGGGGTAAAAAAATTGTGCTGACAATTTGTCAGCACTCATAATGGAGTGATTACATCAATCAGGTAACGTGGGGAATTTTTGTTTTTTTTTATTTTAGGCCGTCATGGAGAGATTTCCTGCGTCTCTTATACAGGAACCCACGGCCTTCACGTCACGCGATCCGATGGAAATGTATAACAATATATTGGTCTTCACCGTAGGCGAAGACTGTGGCTCTGGTCAACGTGCCGAAATGCACATCTTCCAATGTCAAAGTGTCTCCGCCGAGGACCTCGTGGAAGATCTGAAAATGTTACAAATGGGAAAATTGGTACCCGGAGGATCGCCCCGAGGTTCCCGTGGCCACATACCACCCCCACCGGCACTACCGCCTCCAGAACCACCATTAAATGGTGTCAATGTTCGAGAACAAGTCTCCGCATTTAATGCCGCTAATAGTAAGTATTTTTAAATTTCTCTCATCTTTAATTACACCGTTAATTACTCTTGGTAATGATTTTGCGACAGCGGGTGAAAGTAACACCCTCGAAAGCTTGCTCACTTTCTTTCAGATGGCAATTTTCTTTTTCTATAAATTAACAGGTCTTGGATTGTATGACTTTTTGGATTTTTCTTGACTTATTTTTTTTAAAAAATGAGACTTTTTCGACTTCCGTCCACATATTGCAGCAAAATACTAATTTTTTGTATAAAATGCAACTTATTTCGACTTTTGTATTGTTAAAAATAACTTGATACCGCCAATTTTGGGGTTTGACAATATCAGAGTTTTGGACCCTTGTTTAACAAGTTTCCGAAAACTCAGTAAAACGGCGAATTTAAATAGGAAGAAATCTCGGACCCTCCGTGAGTTTCCGAAGATTTCTCTAATTGGGGAAATGATTTACGCGCAAACCAAATTAAAGTAATAAAAAAAATAAATTAAACAAAAGGGGAAACGATTATGGACCCTCAGAAAGTTTCCAAAAATCGCTTTAAAAAAAATCGGAATGGGAAAAAAGAAATAACAGTTTTAGGACCCTCCGTGAATTTCCACGAAACCGGAATTTCTCTATACACAGTAAAAAGTAATTCTTAATTTAAGAGCTACCTTGAATTCAACACTGTCTGCTATAATGTTAAAGGATACGAAAAACGTGCGTAAATTCAACATTGACTGTCTTAAAAATGTTGCATCTTAATTTTAGGCAGCTTTCGTGCCTTAAAATAAGATTTTCTTTTTACTGTGTATTAAAGAAAAATTAAAGGGGATAAAGAAAAAAAAGAAACACAACCTCGGACCCTCCGAGAGTTTCCAACGTTTGCGTTGCTTGGAAAAAAGGGAGTTTATGAATTTTAGACCCTCAGAAAGTTTCTAAAAATTTAACCCGAAAGTTAAATGGATGGGAGAAAATAAAAGTTGAAATTTAACAGGAATGACTTGAATTAAAAAAAAGAGATGAATTTATTTTTTAAGTAACACTGTTTGCGGTAGTTGAGAGCGGTGCGACCGTGCAGGCAGGCAGCTCGGGAAGAAGTTACAACAAAGCCGCCAAGCTGTAATGTAAGCATGAAGGAGTATAAGGAGACATATCTCCAATGGGAAAATTTCCTGATATTGACTGTACTTCTCTGCAGTAAAATCGACAGGTACGCGAAAAGTAATAGCCTCATGTTCACTGATAACAGCGCCGCCAAACGGGAGAAATAAGTGCAATTTTACATTTTAAGTATTTTTATCTTTGACAGCTGATTGATATTTAAAGTTAGAGGATCCTCTGAGTGTTGTATTGTAAAATAGATGAACAGAATTAAATTGTTTTATACGTTATATAAATAGAAAGGACTTCAAATAAACAACCAAAAATTCTTTGCATTAAATTCATAAATGTCTGTTGGTAAAAGTATAAAAACTTTTACCCTTACAGAATAGTATATTAAATAAACTTATCATTCTCGGTGCTTTGAAAAAACACTTTTTTCAGAAGCATTTTTATTTGCTTTATAACTAGACATGCAATTTTTTATAAAACAATTCATATTACTATTATTTTATTGTTAAAAAAACTACGTAAACAAAACTTTTATCATGGACAGCATGGAGGGTATATATTTTCTCCTGTAGGGGCGCTAATATCAGTGAACAAATTTCCGGTATGCCAATTTTCGTGCATGGCGATTTTACGCAGTCAAGTACAGTCAATAGGGATACATATACATACTTCTCCTTATACTCCTTCATGAATGTAAGTAACCAATATAATGTATAGTTCGTCGCCCCTGGGATGGAGGCGCTTCTGTCGCCACTCACACATAAGAAATATGTGTAACGATAGAGCGGGGCTTATGTAGTAGTGTGTAAACAAAATTTTTAACCTTTATTATAATCGTTTGTTTAGTAAAAAATATTAAATATACATCATTTGAAAACGTTTCACTGAAAAAAATTAAAAAGAAAATACTATATGAAGGGAAAAATGAGAACAATTTTTGTTAGTCTATGTAAGTATTCCTTAGGAAAATATTTCAATTTTTTTATGCTGGCATTTTGACAGTAAGCAATCTCTTAATTATTAAAAGATAATTTATGTTATTCTGTTAAAATTTTGTTAATCAATCACTGTTATATATTAAATTTGTTATATTTATTACTAATATTAATATTAAATGATAGAAATACAAAGACTAAGGAAAGTGAAAAAGTAAACTGACAGTTATAATGCCGGTATATGTTTGCAAAAAATTAAAATATTTACTTAAGCAATACTGATAGAATAGAACAAAGTCATTTTCACCCTTCTATTCACATTAAATTTGTTTAATAAAACGTGTTCAAATGATGTATTTTAAATATTTTTTACTAAACAAACGATTATAATAAAGGTTAAAAATTTTGTTTACACACTACTACATAAGCCCCGCTCTATCTTTACACATATTTCTTATGTGTGAGTGGCGACAGAAGCGCCTCCATCCCAGGGGCGACGAACTATACAGTATATTGGTTACTTACATTACAGCTTGGCGGCCCTGAGTTACAATGTGAAATCGCTGTTCGCGATAGTCGAGAGCGATGTGACCAGGCAGGTCGGCTGCTCGAATGTAAGTTGCTTTTGGTGTAAAGCTGTTCGCAGTGATCGAGAACGATGCGACTAGGCAGGTCGGCTGCTCGAACGTAAGTGACGATGAGACAGAGATGCCATTGGGCGGAGGAATTTCATCCCCACTCTTGCACCATTTTACATTTAAGTCAATGTAAAATGGCGCAAGAGTGGGGATGAAATTCCTCCGCCTAATGGCATCTCTGCGATGAGACTGAGAGTTCTGTTTCCAAGCTCTGTAGCGCTGTTGAGTGGGGAAGCGCGCGCAGTGGGAGCAAGCGATGCTCTGATTGGCTGACGCGGCCTAGTGCGACCGGCTGATGCAGCATTCCAGCAATTCGGAATCCTCGCTTATACTCTGTGACAGAAAAATATGAACTAGTTTCGCGAATAATTGAAAAATTAACTTCTGTTAATTTATTGAGTATCAAACTCTAGAGCAATTCCAGGTGAAATGATCAAGTAAAAATTTTAATTTTCTGTAATTGATTTGAAACTATGATAAATTGAAGAGCAAGTTTTTAAAAGTTGATAAATTCATTTTCCAAGAAAATGGAGATATGTAGGTCATAAATTTAATATTTTAAGGACTTCGCAAATCGAACTGTCACTGTTGAATTTAAGAATAAAGTTTATTAACTCCCAATGTAAATTGGATAAATTTTTTATTTTAATTTAAAATTTTTAATTTTAAAGATAAAATTTAAATTATAACTTCAATTTAAAAATTTTTCGACATATAGTTTTCGACTTATAGTTTTTATGTTTTTTATTGTGAAAAATTACCAAAATCTTTAAATCACTTATTTATAACTAGCTGTCGTACCCGTCTTCGACGGATTTTAGTTCCTACTAATACATTTAACAGTGTGTCTACCAATCTGGAAAATCAGGAAATAGCTCGGGAATTTAAGTTGACCGGAAAAAAAATAATAATTAGTTACCATTAGCTATTTCAGAAGAAAATATTACTATTTGAATCAGTAATTGACTTTTTATTATCAAATTAGTTTTTTAACCAATTCAAATGCAGAGAACAATATTTGTCAATTTACAAATTGACAAATAACTAACTAATAACTTAGTACTTTAATTAATGTATTAAAAATTTATCAAATTTTCCACCCATTTTTTGGAGTTATAGTTTAGTCTAATTGGAACTAATTGTATCGCAAGTAGACCCTACGTTACGACTGCTAAAACGTAATATAAGACCTATATTTCAGGCTGAAAGTAGAGCTTAAATTTTGACTTGGGTCTGTTTTCATAAATATTATACATCAATAAAAATTAAAGTAAAAAGCAATTTTTTAAAAGCGAATTAATATAATAAAACTTTTTCTTAATTTGATAGGAAAATTCCCAGCTTTTTCCAGTTTGGTAGTTACCCTGTTAAATGTATTAGTAGAAACAGAAAACTGTCGAAGACGGGTACGACAGCTAGTAATATAATCTATATTTATATGAACTTAAGAAAGAGTATCTATTTTCATAAAATAAGTTAATTTTTATAGCCATTTGTAAATTTATTTATGGATAAAATCAAGTAAATTTAAATTTGACAAAAAAAGATAAACCTTGAAAAATTTGGACAAAGCAGGAAATTTTGTTAAACAAAAATAGTATAATTGGTTGCCCGGATTTCCAATTAAATTATGTGGGAAAAGGTGGGAAAGGGAAAGATAAACAAATAAATGGTATAAAATAGTATTTATTTAACTTACTCGAAGTTCCGTACACGGAAAAAAGAAGTTCACGAATCTCTCGTGAACTAGTCTATCACTTTTGGATGGGACACAAAATTCTTGAAAATCAACAAACACAGTTCGTCAAAATTTCATCAACTCCTTCACTAGAAACATAGTACGGTTTCCGAACTTTTCGTCAAAGTTAACGAAAAATTCGTGAACTTTTAAAAAATGCTAAAAACAAGAAAAAATAATTTCCAGGCACTACTTTTTTATAGTATTTAACTTAATTTGATTACTTGACGCCTATACGCACCCAACTACACAGAATACACAATTTTATCGCCATTAAAATTCGTAATTCGCTTCACGGGATTCGAACCTAGTACTCTATACCCTATAACATAATATTTCTAACAACTAACCGCCACGGCTAAATCTATATTCACAGTACTTTTGCAAATGACACGATTAGCTTTGTCTGCTGTAAAACTCAGGACCGTGCAAAGTAGAAAAAGACCCTTGTCGTAACCTTTAATTTATTTTATGCATTATTTGTTCCACAAAAGAAATTACCACACAAAAATATTCACTAAATAATAAAAAACACTGTTTCTAAAGAATAACTTTCATCAAAGAATTTGCCCGAATGTAAACACCGATGACACC